TTTTTGGTTTTTTTTTTTTTTTTTTTTAGCTTATTTTATTTTATTTTATTTTATTTTATTTCTGACCCCTAATCCAAATCGTCTGGGTCCGCCTCTGATTATATATATGCTAATCGATTTATATTTTATAAGCTAAGCAGAAGTGGAGATATGCAGGGGAAGAGCAGCAGCCGGAAAGAGAGCAAAGTCAGACGGTTGATTAAAGCCCCGATTAGGATTCTGTCGAGAGCGAGGGATTTGTACGTCCAAAGCCTCTCAGGTTGCACCGGAGAAGCTTATTCATCAGTGGGGTGGCCTGCAGCACCACAAGTACTCACAAATTTGCCAAAAAGTTTCAGTGTCAACTCATCATTCTCAAACAGTGATGAAGTTCTCTATGCCACGAATATTAGGAGCCTCGCCGGAAGTATCAAAAGGGACGACTCTCTCAGGAGGAGGAGACACCAGCCGGAACCAAATGTAGTGGGCCGGAGTCAGACCGTTACCATTGGAAGGATTGATGAAGACAAGCCCTGTGAATTCGGAGAACATATTGCTGTGAAGACCGACTTTTATCCAGAATTCAGAAGCTGCAGTTTCAAGAAGGCCGATTTTGTAAACATCGACAAGAAATGCTTGCTTGGGAAAAAGTATAATGAGATTATAATGGACGTGAGTAAGGATTGCCAATGTATAAATAAGTAGTAGTTATGAATTTGTAAGGTGATTATAATGAAACCCAAACAGGTTAAGCAAGCTGCTTTCCTCTTTTCTCCTTAATCAAAATTATAGTAGATTTTGTTGGACGTTGATAAAATGTGTGATTAAAAAGTTGTGAGTTCCATGAAATGTATGGTTAAAATTAATTGTTGACTTTGACTTGAACTAAAATTTTGATTTTAATTACTATCAAACAAGGATGTAATTTATTTTGTTAAATTCGGACCTCTTCTCACTCCTTTTTCTTTAAATTATAACATACATGTCAATTTAAATGAATTGTCTTGTGGTATTATATTTGTCATGCTAAAAAATAATAATAATAATTAGACCATATTCATTGCTACACATCCAAGTGGGTATGTGCTAAGTGCATTATATTACTTGGAAATAGTATAACAAAAGCATCTATGAAATACTTGTTATTTTTTACTCCAGGATAAGGCCCACTATCGGGCTAAATTTAATTATACTGATCAGTATAAATTTCTTTATTGAAAAACTTGTCATTTTAATGTAGGTATTTGGCATATCTAATTTGCCTTCTTGCTAGTTAGTTATTTAAGCACCAAGAACATTATGTGGAAAAAGTCGTGTAATGTATTGTTGATCATCGTTCTTTAGTAGCTAAAAATTAGATTTTTAATAAATTTTAATAAAAATGATGAAATATGTGATTAAAAATTAATAAAAGTTGTGAATCTCATAATATATATTAAAAATAACAGTAACGCGCACATAATTAATCCAATTAAATGGGTTTCATAACACCACATTTAATGAAATAATCAAATGCCATATTTATTCCATATAGGGTAGTCAGGGGCGGACCGGGGGTGGAGGGTTTACAGGGTCAAATGACCCTCTAGATTTTGGGGGAAAAAATTGTTTATCTTCTTTGTTTTTATTTATTTTTTTTTTAGCTTTTTTTTTCCATTAGAAGGTACCCTATACATTTTATTTGTGACCCCCTAACTCAAGTCGTTTGGGTCCGCCCCTGATTTGTAGTACTTGGTATGCGAAAAGGCACCTCCTCCAACAACCTCGTTTGTATGAACAGCAACAACCTATGGAAAATCTTCATTTTGAGCTTCACTAGCAGTTGCTTCAGGTTCGTCAAACTATGTATCTAACCTGTTATGTGTTCCTACAACATTTAAAACTTCATCATTCTCACTTAGTATTGATTTTTAAAACTACCATTCTAATTTTTCTTAATAAACTGGACTTATTACCTAATGGAAAATCATGAACTTCAGTTACGATCCCAATTTTTTGTACTTCACAAAAAAATAAAAAAAGTATGGTAGGTTAATATGAGAAATCTAGATTTTCAACTATATCAAGAAACAAATAACCGTTGAAGACAACTCAAACGTTATAAAATAATTCATTGACATCTTATTCATTCCTTGCTTGGTTATATATAGGGATATACTTTCATTTACAAAAAATTGAATTACTTACAACAAGCTACACTAAAATCATGTTTGGAAATTGTTTATAAACAATTTATACTATAAATACACGAAAATCAATGGTAAATAAGTGGGTAATACTTGTGAATCCCTCAAAATATGTAGATAAAACTAGTTGTATAAGTGTTTATAGATATGAACCAAACATAGTAAAAATGTGAAACATAAAACAAATTAGAAACATAACAAGTCTATATTAGTAGGAGAAATTATTATAATATAACTTGAGCATTAAAAGCACTTGGCATTTGTAAAGAGATAATTAGGTTTTTACATTTGATGCTGCCAAAAATCATATATGGAAATACTCGATCTAGAATTTTGGATGCTCAAGAAACGAGCACGAACAAAACCTTTGGACTACGTACGGAAAGGTTAGGAAAGTTGTTCGCATAGCCAGTCCAAAGCTAAGTCAATAAACAGCTAGGAAGAACATATGTACATGCGAAGCAATAAATTGATAATGTAAAACTTAGCTGAATAATCAACAAGTGTAACGTATATTTAAAATTTGGAGGGAGGTAATCCCATAACAATTAGAACACCACTTCTAATGGGGTTAGCACATAGAATGTGTTAGAGGGTGGAACTTTGTATGCGGGAAGGACATTAGATTTCAGGCCTATCAATATGTTGGATGTTGACACTGACTAGAACCGGCCAAGAGGACAATTAAGGGGCTGAGATGCAAGGCCCGAGCTAGGTTGATACATGCACTAAAAAGGAAAGCTCATATGTTGGCTGTTTTTGGAAGACGTGAATATTGGCTTTAATTACTATGTCAAAAAATGATCGAGACCCTAGTTTATCCTTTTTCCTTAATTTTAAGGTTGTCGTTTGAAAGGTTAATCAATCCTTTATTATTTTCTATCATTCCTTTTATGTTCCAGTCATCCCATGGAAGTGTTGCAGCCTCTATTCTGTAATTTCTATTTAAAAGGCTTTATGCCATGAATAAAGGTATCTTGAATCTTCTCTCAACAAATCATTATCAAGGAGGTCGGTTCACCTCGAATTGAATCATTAAAGGAGGACAAAGATCCCTTGAAGAATCCTAGATACATTAACTTGCAAACATAGGTAAATTACGTAAAGTCGATCCTGGTGCTTTACCAATTGACAAACCAGTTACACGCTCTCACACAAAGGCACGTAACAACATAGTATCAAAGCCAGACATGTCGGATCATTGCTTGGAGTGGCTTGAGGTGGAAATCGATTCTCTAGGAGCTGTTCAATCAACGTTACAACATGAATTGCAACAAGAGAAACGAGCCAGTGAGAAAAGAATGGTGAAGCGCATAGAAAATATGTTCCATGTGATTTCCACACAGATTGAGGCAATGTCACAAAATTTTAGCAGAATGGAGGCATAGTCAGGATCCAGTAGGAAGGGAAAGGGAAAGGGAAAGGAAGGCTCAACGACCACTAAATTTCAAACTGCTAAATTAGATTTTCCTCGCTCTGATGGGATGGGAGATCCAATGGGGTGGATTTGTCATGTTGAGCAATTTTTTGATTTCCAGCACATCGATGAAGAAGAAAAGGTACCTATAGTTGGGTACCATTTAGAAGGAGATACGCAGATGTGGTACCAACAACTCAAAGAGAACGTAAAATATTTGGATTGGGAGTCCCTAAAGCAATTGCACACATGTTTTGGACCAACAAGGTTCCAAAATTTTTTTGGGGATTTATCAAAATTAAAGCAAGAGGGAACGGTACGTGAATATAGTACGGAGTTTCAAAAATTGATGAGATGTGCAGGAAAATTAACCTTAGAACAGCAAGTGGGCAGTTATGTAAGCGGGCTAAATGAGCCTATTAGATCAGATGTATTGGTGAATGGCCCAGAAACTCTAACTGCAGCTATTAGCTTGGCCCGAGTTTATGAGGCTAAATTCTCGAACATGAAGAACTCCTTGAGCAAGATGAGGAGAGCCACAATAGCACCCACTCGAGCTTCCACAAATTCTATGCCACCACAGCGTCCCTCGATGTCACTGACCCAATCTCAAAATCCAATAATTCGATTTCTCAATCCAATAGAGCTAAAGGAAAGAAGGAGAAAGGCCTCTGCTTTAATTGTGATGACAAGTTTGGACCAGGACACAGATGCAAGAAGCTCTTTTTTATTGAAGGAGACTTTGATAAAGTAGAGGAGAGTAGTGATGAGGAAGGAGAGAATGAATCAGAGGAGGCACCACAAATTAGTTTCCATACTATCTTTGGTACGCCAACATCCCAAACCATGAGGGTGCATGGAAAAATTGGAACTCTCGGCTTCACCCTTTTGGTGGACTCTAGGAGCACCAATAACTTTTTAAATGATGAAGTTGCAACCAGATTAGGATTGAAACCAAAGGAAGGAAACTTTAGAGTGTCAATAGCAAATGGGGAAAATGGATAGATCTAGTGTTTGTAAAAGTTTTCCAGTGGAAATTCAAGGGCTCAAGTTTGATGTTAATTTTTTCATATTGCATATTGAAGGTTGTGATGCGGTCTTGGGGACCGAATGGTTGAGGGGGCTTGGTCCAATAATATGGGAGTTTACAGAATTATGGATGCGATTTTTGTGGTTGGGAAGAGCAGTAGATTTGAAAGGGGAGAGAGGACCTGCAAACTGAATTGTAGAGGAAGCAGCTACGCACAAAAATATAAAAAAAATCTAAGAAATGTTTTCTACTACAGCTGCAAGCCATCCAATTGGAAGTCAATGAGAGGAGTGGAGATAAAATTGATGTTAAAATACTACCACTGCTAGATAGATTTAATGGTATATTTTTGGAGCCTACTGGACTTCCCCCAAGGTGTAAACAGGATCATCAAATCCCTCTAATTGCTGGTTCAAGACCTGTAAATGTCAAACCATATAGATATCCACATTATCAAAAGGAAGAGATCGAAAAGCTGGTGTCTGGTTTGTTGAGATCTGAGGTAATGAGAAGAAGTACTAGTCCTTATTCCTCACCGGTTCTCTTGGTGAAAAAGCATGATGGATCTTGGCGTTTATGTGTTGATTATCGTGCCCTTAACCAAGTAACAAGAAAAGAAAAATTTCCTATCCCGGTGATTGATGAGTTACTAGATGAATTACATGGTGCTAGAATTTTTACTAAGTTAGATCTTCGCTCTGGATACCATCAAATCAGGATGCATGAGGTAGATGTGGAAAAGGCGGCATTTCAAACTCATCATGGGCAGTACGAGTTCTTAGTAATGCCGTTTGGATTGACCAATGCACCATCAACTTTTCAGGCCACTATGAACGAGTATTTCATGATTTTCTATTAAAGTTTGTGTTAGTATTTTTTGACGATATCCTGATATATAGTGGTGATTGGGAAGAACATCTAACACATGTGGAGTTGGTTTTCCAAAAGTTAGAGATTCATGAATTTTTTGTGAAGAAGGAAAAATGCCAATTTGGTTTAGAAGAGGTCAGTTATTTGGTGCATTTAATATCAGCACAAGGGGTGGCTATGGATCCAGAAAAATAGCAGCCATGGTGGAATGGCCTAAACCAACTACGCTCAAGGGGTTACGCGGTGTTCTGGCCTGACTGGATATTTTAGGAAGTTTATCTAGCATTATGGAGACATTTCTAGACCACACATACCCATGTTAAAAAAGGGGGCATTTGAGTGGAATACTCTAGCGGATAAGGCCTTTGTTAAACTCAAGGAACCCATGACGAAAGGATCTGTTTTAGCCTTGCCAATTTTTTCAGCATTGTTTGTAATTGAGTGTTATGCATCGGGAACGAGACTTGGGGTTGTGTTAATACAAGAAAATAGGCCCATTGCCTATTTCAGCTAAGCTCTCAAAGGTAAAAATCTGGCCCTCTCTACTTATGAAAAAGAAATGTTAGCTTTAGTTAGTGCTGTCCACAAATGGCGTCCATATTTGTTGGGAGCTAAGTTTATCGTTCGCACTGATCAGAAAAGTTTGCAGTATTTATTAAGCCAAAATATTACCAACTTGGCTCAACAAAAATGGCTGGTAAAACTAATGGGGTTTGATTTTACAATTGAGTATAAGAAAGGGTGTGAGAATTCAGTGGCAGATGCTTTGTCTAGAAAACAAGAAGGGGAGTTATAAGCAATCTCTTAACCAGTTCCTCATTGGGTTGATCCTATCAAAGAAGAAGTCAAACAAGAGTCAGAATTAAAGGATGTAGTACACAAAATTACAGCAGGAGAAGCAATCGGACCCTGGGAATTTAAAGAAGGTATCATTTTCTTCAAAGGTTGCATTTATCTTAGACATGAATCTTCTTTAATTCCTTCTATAATTTCTGAGTATCATAGCAGCACTCATGAGGGTTTACATAAAACTTTGCATCGCATTAGGTTGAATTTTTATCGGAAGGGAATGAAAGGGATGGTACGAAATTTCATAAGAGCTTGTCACGTTTGCCAAACCCATAAAGCCGAGTTGGTCAAACCCGCAGGTCTTTTGAATCCCTTACCCATTCCAAAGCATGTATGGACTGATATTTCAATGGATTTCATAGAGGGCCTCCCCACTTCTAAGGGTAAATCTACAATTTTTGTAGTTGTAGATAGGTTGTCCAAATTTGCACATTTTATTCAAATTAGCCATCCGTATACAGCCACTTCTATTGCTCAAGTCTTCTTTGATAACATCTTTAAGCTTTATGGTATGCCCAAAACAATTGTATGTGATCGGGATCCTATCTTTACAAGCACTTTTTGGAATGAGTTGTTTCGACGGAATGGGGTGAAATTTAACTATAGTTCTACTTACCATCCTCAAACCGATGGGCAAACAAAGGTGGTAAATTGAACTTTAGAAATGTATTTAAGATGTTTTACCAACTCTAGACTTGCGGATTGGGCTCAATTTTGTTATAATACCAGCATTCATACTTCTACTGCTAGAACTCCCTTCCAGATATTGTATGGTCAAGACTCCCTAGCTATTATTGCACATGTTCAGGGGACAGCCAAGGTAGAATCAGTAGATCAGTTTCTATTGGTCAGAGATGAGTTGATACGGGAAGTAAGAGGCATCTCTTGGTAGCTCAAAATAGAATGAAAATGCAGTATGATAAGAAACGTGTGGAGAGAAGCTTCGACATTGGTAAATTTATCTATTTGAAATTAAGACCCTACCGCCAACAATCAGTAGCACAGAGAAAAAAATCAGAAGTTGGCAGCTAAGTACTTTGGTCTTTTTAGGGTGCTGGCTCTGGTTGGTCAAGTGGCTTACCATTTACAATTGCCTGAGAATGCCAAAATCCATCCGGTGTTCCATGTGTCGCTCCTAAAGAAGTGCATGTGCGCAGGCGATATAGTCTCAAGTGAACTACCTTCATTTGCAAATCAAGTTACAAAAAATGGTCTACAGCCTCAAGCCATTTTGGACACACATTTCATCAGGAAGAACAAGAAAGTGTTGGTGTTGTGGAAGGATAAAGATGTTGCAGATGCTACTTGGGAAGATAGTGAAGAGATTGTGGCAAGATTTCCTGAAATTTCCCTTGAGGACAAGAGAGATTTTAACATGGGAGGAAGTTGATACATGTACTAAAAAGGACAGCTCATATGTGGGATGTTTTTGGAAGACATAAATATTGGCTTTAATTACTATGTCAAAAAATGATCCAAATCATAGTTTATCCTTTTTCCTTAATTTTAAGGTTGTCTTTAGAAAGGTTAATCAATCCCTTATTATTTTTTGTCATTCCTTTTATGTTCCAGTCATCCCATAGAGGTGTTGCAACCTCTATTCTATAATTTCTATTTAAAAGGCTTTATGCCATGAATAAAGGTATCTTGAATCTTCTCTCAACAAATTATTATCGAGGAGGTCGGTTCATCTCGAATTGAATCATTAAAGGAGGACAAGGATCCCTTGAAGAATCCTAGATACGTTAACTTGCAAACATAGGTAAATTACT